ACTTTTACCAAAATACCGGGACTAGTGCCGTGCCCTTTGACGGTAACGTGGGAAGTTTGCGTGCGTCCAGCAGACAACAAGCGTATCAGGGTGATTCATAGGATCATGTAAAGGGCTGTCCTTCGGCTAGGACAGTCAGCGATGTCATTTATTTTGTCACGAATACTGGCAGCCAACAATTTAATGCAATGTTATCAACCGCGCGTTTATACTGGCAGTGTGGTGTGGTCAGCTTGTCTCTGTCTTGGCCAGTTTTCCAGTATGGATCATTGATGTACATATTGATTAAAGTCACAAATAAACTGTAAAGGATTGCGTTGATCATCCCAGACCAAAGTTGAGGACGAAATGAAGATAGTGTTTAAAAACGTCTGGCTGAGACTAATAAATTTCCCTTCACATCAATTTTCCCCTTGTTTTCTTACCCAATCCTAAGGCTGGATTTCGAGACGACTGCCCAACCTATTCGTCTTAATTCGTCTTAACTGTCGCCACTTGGTAAGTTATTTTAACGTCTCGCTTGTGTTCAAACCGGAACGCCAAACATACAGGTTGTAAATCAGTCCTATTTAAAAGGAACGCTCCAGGCACAAGTAACCAGCTCTGCCTTGACTAACCCGGTCTTGCCAATGACTTGCACGCCAACGACTACAGGGATACACTATGATCCATATGGAGGTTCTTTGCGAAATATATACGAGTAATAAATGTCACTTTTATTTTAGCATTTTCGATTTTTTTTTTCAGAAAATAAGATTTAAAAGCATTACGCACTACAGGTGTTCTAACTCTGTCCTTGCCATACGTGATCGTTTTTGTCACTTCTCAGAGCCTATCCGTACTTTTCGTGGGCTTCTGCCAAGGTCTGGTCTGCTTTCATTTACCCTTTTCTCAGAAATCTCCACCAAGAGTCATTCATCCCCCTAGACCTAGCTGCCACCGCCTGCCATTTGTTTACCTGGTCACGGATTCTTCCTCACAACTATTTACAAACATTGTAGAAACGAAACGATTAGTGGTGTTTGTGTTTACAGAGAAAGCTGAGCTTCTTTGATCATTTGTCGTTTTCTGTACATCCCTTACACCTTCCTCCCTTCTGATGTACCCGAAATTTCGACAGTAACAAAGTGACTTCTGTTGTACTCGAACACATGGCATTCACAGCTCGGTTACTACTTTGAAAGTGAGGATTCCCAACATAAGTTGCGCCTAGTGACATTTCCAGTGAAAATCGCCGAGAATGCACGTCTACAGCATCCTTTGGCCGACATCAAGTCGTTGTTTATTTAACTTGTGGGATGCTGACCGGACACACACACTGACCAGACGTTTTAGAAATGGACTCTTGTAGTCTTCCCTTCTACGCGGCTATCTATAGCTGACCCGATCACGGTTGCTAACCATCCATAAATAAAGAAAATGGCTTGTGTTCACCAACCTTGTCCTTTCTCCATCGGCACAAGAGAATAAATGGAAAGCAGAACCGAGAAGAAAAGCTTAAGGGACAAATAACTAAGAGGCCTGCGTATGTTTCCACTGTAGGGAACGAAAAGGCATGCAGAAGTACGGATTTTCTCGCCTTTCGATAAGACTGGCGTGATCTACATGTACTCAGACAGATCGTGCCCCGGATAAGCTGTTTACGAGAGAAGCATGTCTTCATACCTCACTATGACCCCCTTCTCACCCTCTGGTGTTGAACAATATTGTTGGCACGGTCCGCGGAGTTCACTCTCAATTTATCCAGTATTATGGAGGAATCTATGGACTGGGCTGAACCTTTTGTACAATCATGGAGCTATAAAAGAGATGTAGCTCCATGGTACAATCGAGTAGGGTTCTGTCTGAAGCTTCCGTCTTTGGCTTTCTATACACTTATTTAAGAATTTCTTCTTTCACTCAATGTCAGCATGTTTGTTTTGCCCGTGCAAGTTGTTTTGTTCAATGCAGATGAGGAAAGCATTCTTCTATTTTCTTCGAAACAATTTGAGCCCTGGCCAAAACGCGTGTTAACGGTCAAGGCTGCGTCTAAGTAAGCCTAGCGGGACATTGCGACGTGTCACCTCACCTCACTGTTGATGTGGCTGAACTACATTTAGCTGGGAGGCCGAGACCTTGACCGGCTTACTGGTATGATGTTTGACGACGGCAGGCTCCCGTAACGGCACTTTGTAGGCCACCTGTCGGGCGGTAGTCAGGACACAACTCCAGCACTACCGGGATGAGACCATCCGGATCATACACACGAGAGAACGGTTCGTTGTTTAGCGTGTATTCGTCTTTTACGCCTTTTAAAATTAGGTGATATGAAAATAGGCAAATGTAACCAACGGTTGTTTTCGTTCTGTATTGGAGGTTGCTAATCAGTGGGTGATGTATGGCAAACGACAACTTCAGACGAGACCGTGCCCCCAAGAAAGAAACAGAAGCTGTCAGTCGTAACAGCCAGGCATTTCCCAGGAAACACTTTTCAAGGCCGAGGAGCACAAAGCAACCCCCCAAAACTTGCCACCGAGACGGTAAAGTACATGAGGTCTTAGTGTCGATATAAACAGAGCAGGATTTGCACTTTCAATAGAACCCGAATCTGCGGTCTTGTCTCGCAGGTCTGGCTGATGTTTGATTGGCTGACTTGACTCCCAGCGGCGGCCTGTAGCCAATTAACGGGCGATAGGTTCTTGGCAAGGACGCTCTCTTTGGCCACATTACACTTCAGCCAGAAAGACAGACACAGAAGCGCCGGCAGGCCCGGCTTTAGATCCCTAGCACCTCAGCTAGGACGCATAGGCTCGCGTCACCGACGTCGGGAGAACTGACGCACCGTCCGCCTCTTACGTACGGAGTTGGGACGGAAGCTGCAGTTTGAACGTGCCTTCCCCTGAACGTGTCTGCACTCTGCTTCCCGGAGAGATTTGTGCTTCCCGTTTCCCAAGGATTTCTCGGATTCAGCTACCTCTTATCGGGTAAGGTTGTCTTTTCTTGGTCTATGAGGAGTTACGGGGTTACAA